AGAATGCAAGTAGGCTCAGGACATCAGCTTTCCACAGAAAATAAATGCAAGCCATTAAAAATTCAGTTTCTTTTCTTTAAGCTCCTTCCTCCGGTTTTGCTAATTAGCCACCAATAGTTTTGTCATCTGAGCTGGGAAACATAAGGAAGAATACCAGTGGAATGTTTTCAATCACGGCACTGGCATGGAAGAATGAATCATATTTTCCAGGAATGACTGCTTAGGGGCAGTTGGGGGCAGAAGGAAACAGTCTTCACACAACTATAAAACTGTAAGAGACCTGAAATTTTAGGAAAGGGAGCATCTTTCTTCCCCCGTGAACAAAACCAGCAGAGAACCTAGAGGACATGACTAGTGAATCCAAGAAACTCCCCACAAAGACCCCTGCAGGGACTTTCAGAAAACTCAAGTCTTCCCAGTAAGACTAAGACAGAAGACAATGGAACACATGTTTCCTGTAACAGGGAGGGGAATAAAACTTAAGTGTCACCCAGGGTAAGGGAATGCTTTAACTATTATGTCACCTGCCTCACAAGTTTATAGAAGAATAAATGCATGGCAGTAAGTGAAAGCAGAGGGCGATGGTGATTTGAAACATCTAGCTACAGATGGAACAGAAGCAGAGTACAGCTGCTGAGAAATCCCTGGGAAGGAGATGGGGTTCCTTATCCTGATTCCAATACAAGCAGGTCAGGTCCCACAAATCCGTCCCCCCCCCCTCCCATGCTCTCCCCAATTATCAAGCGCCAGTGATCCTGCAGCCATGAGCCTGTCAGCACCACACCATGTCTGAGCCAGGCAGCCTGAATGTCTACTTTCTGGCCTTGATATACAGCCCATCCACAGCTCCCTTCATGAGAGAATAACCCCCAATGCCCCCACCAGGATTTTATTCCAAACATATGTTGCAAATGTTTGAAGTACCCACTATCCCTGGGTTTTCTTTTCCTTTTTTTTTTTTAAGTCAAACCCCCAAAACCTAAAATACTTTGAATCTTACCTAAGTGCAATTTGTGAAGATGCAAGTTTGCATGCCCAAGTATAATAAAGTCTTGTGCAATAAAAATTTTACAGATGTCCTTCTGAGGGGAAAAAATGATGTTCCTTTTTCCGGTCTTACAGGAAGCCTGCCCACACATTAGAAATACAAAGTTAGTATATATAGAAGCACAAATTAGGCATCTTGGAAAGTTTGCATTTTCCAACCACAGAGAAATGAAGGAATTACTGTGAGTGGTCAGATACCCAGCGACGCTGTGTTAGAAGTCTTCTCTCTCCCACAGCATTGGTGGAGCTGGCTCAGGACTCAAAGGCAAAGGGGATGGCCCAAGAAGGTGTTTCTGAACCTTGAGCTGCTGAAGGTCTGCAATGAACTTGTGTTACTGACAATGCTGCAGGGCTGCGGCAAGGTAAAGAAACGTGATCAGCCGAAACCGGTTTGGCTCAGTGGATAGAGCGTTGGCCTGCGGACTGAGGGGTCCCAGGTTCGATTCCGGTCTAGGGCATGTACCTGGGTTGCGGGCACATCCCCAGCAGGAGATGTGCAGGAGGCAGCTGATCGATGTCTCTCTCTCATCGATGTTTCTAACTCTATCCCTCTCCCTTCCTCTCTGTAAAAAATCAATAAAATATATTTAAAAAAAAAAAAAAGAAACGTGATCAAGCTTGGATGTCTCATGTTATTTGACTTTAATTTAATTAATTTATTTTTTTAATCCTCACCCGAGGATAAGTTCTCATTGATTTTTAGAGAAAGAGAAAGGGAGAGAGAGAAAGGGGAGAGGGAAACATCAATCGGTTTCCTCCAGTATGCACCCCAACCAGGGATCAAACCCGCAACCGAAGTATGTGCCCCGATGGGGAATTGAACCTGCAACCTTTTGGTGTACAAGATACACTCTAGCCAACTGAGCCACCTGGCCAGGGCTTACATCTCATTTTTAAAAGGTGGTACTTTTCTCATACACTAAAAATTTCTTAGAAGATGTGATGTGATGTACGTGATGTGATGTGATGTATCAATTTCAGCAGCATCACATCAGTTATTAGCTTTAGTTGGATAATTCAGTCCAGATAAAATCTAACAGATTTTATTATAAAGTACCTAAAAGACACTCTTTATACTAGCAGAAGATTAAATAAGCCAACGGGGTTCTAGAAAAAGTAAAGTCATATCTTATCTCACTCTTTGAGATTTAGTATTAGACATCTTTAAACTGTTTACGATAAATAAATAATATTGTACCTTTCCTTTTCCACATGTATTAAGTTTGTTACATAAAACACTTTCTGTCGATAATTTAACGTTAAAACTTCTCAAACGCATTTAAAAGCTTTAAAACTTCTTTACTTAAAAAAAAATAGGGGAAAAATTATAATCAATCTACTCAAGTTGCACGAGGAATGGTTATGTTCAGAAGGACACAGAGCACAGTTTCAGGCCATGCCAACCCTTTTGCTAGGTTTATAAACCAACCGCTCCATCTCTAATCTGTGCTCACAGGAGACACTGACCTCAGGGAGGTAGGTGAACAGGTCTGGCAGGGAAACGCCAGTCTACCCTGAACCAAACACAACTGTAGCACCAACAAAAATAACTTGGTTTGGAGAATGAACTCATCATGAACAGATGAAGACGATGGTGATGGAACAAAAGGAAGAGGGAGGAAGAGGAGCCACAGGACAACTACCATAATACTTCTGAGGCACCATGAGCCAGTGCTTTTATTAAATACTTCATTTGCACTGGCTCACGTAATTCTCAAGAGAACACCATGGGGCAGGCAGTCACCTATCACCCCCACTCAACCGTTAGGAAATGATTCCTAGAGGGGTCAGCACACTTGGCCAAAGTCACACAGCCAATAAGTGGCAAAGCTGGAACTTAAACTCAAATCCCCTGAGTGCTCAGCCAATCTGAGTAATCTCTAGGACTCCTGTCCATATTATTGACGTAATGACACCATTTATTTATGACCCATTTAGGGAGTACGTTGCAATGGTGGGTCAAAATAGCAAGTGCTTGTAAGTTATCATGTAATTTTAATAGTGAGTTGAACAATACTGTGGGAAAAGCTAAAGAATAACCCACCTATTGTTGCTATGCCCTCTAAACAGAGGGACAATGAGTGGTTCCAAGCCCACCAAGAACTCCCCAGTGCCCAATGCTAGTTAATATTTCCCTGGGGTGCACACACAGGCCACACAGAGGTGATGAGAGTCCCTGGTATGCAGAGTTCCTGGACCCTCAAATGACAGGGAGAGGATTCAATGGGCAAACGGTTAGAACAAATGGATCAAGAGCAAGCTGCAAGGTGAATGGCACAGAGAAAGTTAACGGTCATCTGCCTGCTTCTGTCAACCAAAAAAGAAGTTCTCTCAGCTGTCCTGACCAATTAATACCTCACTAATTAGAGGGCATCTGGAACAGAAAACAAAGTGTCAAATGTATAGGATGGGAAAAGTTTTGTTCACACATAAGAATGAAAACAATGCAAGGAGCTTATGGCTAACAATCCAGACTTAATAATAATCATCTATCTAGCACACTATTGGGGAAAATTAATATAAGTAGAAAGTATGTAGATTCCCTCACATTTTCTGCATGGATGATCTCTAATAGAAACCCATAAAAATGTATAAAACAGGAACATGTTCAGATAAAAACCCTACCAGCACTATTTTAAACTGTTATTTCTAAAATAAAATGAAATGAAATAACCCTTTAATGAGGAAGGACAGGATCATGCACACCACCCCTCCTGACTCCCGCAGCTGTGAACATAAAAACTGCAGCAACAGGCACTTTTTACACTGAGAAGTTGTGAACTTTCTAAGAATCCATAAAACCTTTTCTTCCACACTTCTGACCACTTTTTGAAAAATCCTCTCTCCATTAAAAAAAAATAATAATAATGTATCTTCCATCTTTACCAACAATATTGGGGGAGGGCGGTTGCTGAAACTTCAGGTTGTGCAAGGCCCTTTGATCTGCACCCTGATGAGGGACCGTCCCCCTCTGCTGCAAGTCAACTAATGAAGGGATGGAATTAGCTTTTATCCTGGGCACTTTCTTGAGCAAGAAAATATGCACTAATCAGCTGTCCTCAATAATCAGTCATCTGGCTAATGACCTTTTGCCTTAAAACACTAAAATTTCTGAATGATGTGGAAAAGGGGAAACAAGAACCAGTCCCCCACTCTGGAGCTCAATGGATCATCTGGAATTGGAGCCGGGAAGGTTAAATGGCAAGTCCGTATCCTGGCAAGGTGATAAATCTGTAATCAAGACTGCAAGCTTTGGCACCTCAATGCGAACTTCATTACCCCCCAACCAAAGTATATTCCTTAACTAGAAACAGGCCAGATATAAACTCAGCACAATATTTTCCTTCATAGTGTCTGCCTTTGGAGAAAAACCACTGTATATCTGTGTTCAGAGTCTACTTTATTAGTGCTGAGAAAGGGAACAGCCGATGTTTCTAGTAGTAGACTGGTCAGTGACCAAAGTCGAGCCTGTACAAAAATCTTCTATGTTAAGGAAATTTGCACTGATTTGTTGAAAGAGGTTGGTTCCTCCTCAACAACTGAGCAAAAATTAATTTTCATTGAAAACGGGAACTGTTGCTGTTAAAGATTTCAGCTAATGCAGTCCACGTTAACAACTCCCCCATCAACCAATTTTTCTCCCGCAAAGTCTAGGAGACTTTGGGGAAAGAAAATTAGGTGCCATTTCCCAGGAAAGGTCCCTGTGAGTGAGCCACAGATGGACACCTTCCTCAAGGCCACCCCACTGACGACTGAAGTTACTCAGGGAATATAAGGAAATGACTCTCCCTAAAAAAGAACGGAAAGGATATGGGAGAAGCAAAGTGGGCAGTTAATTAAACATTTATATAAATCAATGTTAAGCCAAATAATTCACGAAGCGCATGTGCATGCACGCACACACAAGCCGCCCAGGGCTCTGGACCACATGCCGTGAGGCAGGACCCACTTACGGTAGTGAGGTTCCATGTAACCGTTCCTGGGGTCCATGGCGAACACGGCCCCGCGGTATGGGATGGAGGGCTCAGCCAGGTGGGGCAGGGACCCATGGATCTCCTTCTTGATCAGCGAGCCCCGCTCGTCACTAGATGTGGCAGGCTCCTCGCTGATCTTGCCAAGCCCCTGGACACTCTGTGGCTGCATAGTGACTGCGTTTCTTCTCTCTCTGTGATAGGTCTGTCCAGGACTTTCATCCTCTAAAGAAAGAAGGAACACAAAAGCTCTGTGACCATTTTAAGAAGCAATTCAGAAACAGTCATCCCTGAGGTCTTCCTCCAAAAAAGAAGCCAATTTCTCATTCTGGCAACTCTGAAAAGCTACACCACGATGGGATGTCTGTCCTTCAGACAAAATTGCCTGTGAATGAGGGTCCACAATACAAATGGAAGGATGAAGGGGAGCCAGAAATGAGCCAATTAAATTGAGATGTAGGGAGAGTCAGCAAATTATCATCACAGGCTCACAGCTGAATCTGCCAGCGAGGCTCTTCCCTGGGTTCTTGCCAATGCCCCTGCAAGTCCCACTGGAGCTGGACGTTTTGCCAGCCTAGGGGCTGTGGGCGGGCCGCGAGTTTGACATGCTTGGTGTACAGCTTCCCCTCATCTGTCTGGAAGCCAGGCCTCTGGGATAACACTGAGGCGCTGGGTGATCCTGGGGTCAAAGAGCCTCTGTTCCTCAGAGGATGACCTGTTAGAAAGTGATCCAGACAGTCTCATGTTTTAGTTTTTTTAAGTCAGATTTGTAACCCAATGAGAGGTTTAACCGAGCCAGAAATGGTGCAGAAAATCCACTGGTTACAAAGGATAAAGGTGGCGATCCTGGAAACCTCCAGGGCCCCTTGCATGACACATCTGACCATAGAGCAGAGCTGATCACTAGAAGGAAGAAGGAATGAAGGTGAAAAGTTCAAGTGTGAGATGGCTCTGGGGGTGAGGAAGGCGCCCATTCTGCCGATATGTACATACTCTGGTGGGGTCCAGACATAGCTTTAAACATGTAAAAAAAAAAGAGCCCAATGGGATCCCCAGCTCCCTAAATGCTTCTGGTTTCCTTTGATCTGTAAGAAGTTTCCATCTATCCAGTATGGTTCTCTACAAATGTGATTGGATGACCTTTCCATAATAGCAGATCAAAGAAACAAGGCATAAAATGAAACCAAACCGGCAATCAGAACCCACAACAAGTGAACCAATTCATCTGTTAGAACCATACACATACTCTGAAACTACATCCGCCAAACAAGCTCTGCATTTAACCAACAGACTGTGCTCTGACAGGCAAGTGCTGATGGAAGCAAAGTTGTTCAGGCACTGCTTAGGCATCTAATCTGAAAATCCCTGATCTGGAAAAAAAAAGGGGGGGCGGGGGGGAAGGAATAAAGAAACTATATTTGAAAAACAACAACAAAAAAGAAACTCCATTTGAGTGTAAATAATAATAAATTTTACATGGACAGATTTTGAACATATCCCAGTATATAAACTTATCTTCAAAGTATTTCATAAAGCAAATATCTCTAGGTGAGAGCCCCTAAAAGCCAGCAATAGTATACTTTAGCAGTCTTGTTGTTGTTCATACAAATTCAAAGGAAATATAGCTATAAACACAGACAAGCACGATAATACAAACTAAAGCAATGACTACTGTTTTGTGTTGAGTAAGGACTTAAACTACCTAAAGCCAGTACTCTTTCTGCCTACGTCTAGGACTTTAAGAAATAAGCAATGCATTTTTTTTCAGTATGGCAAGTAACAGGCCAAACAGTATAAACCATGAGGTACACTTTAGTTGTCAGTGAATTTGCTGACTACTACAGGGTAACTGTGAAACATTATTTTGTGCAGATCCTCACCTCAAACCTTGTAATTATGGGATAAATAAAGAGTTTAATCTATCAAATAACTACTAAAAAAAATAGATGTAATACCACATTTTCACACACTGATCTTTACAAAAGCAATTCAAACCATGCTTTTGCTTATTTAAAAACAAACTACAGAAAAATCCTACATTTTTATTTTCCTTCTGATTAATACTATCCACCCTTGTACTTTGTTAGCAGTGAAATTGCAAACCATAGAATAAGGGCTTGCACTCATGTAAAAGCAAAAGGGTGTCAAAAACACTAAAACCCTTTGTCAGTTTTATAAAATTTCCTATAACCTACAAATGGCCAAAGTCATATTTTCCACTCATTTCTGCCTGTATAAAACCTTTATTTCAAATTTCAACCTGAACTTGTAACACTGAGGTGCAAATGCTATAGAATGGACCTTCATTCAGAAAGCCAGAAAGCCCTTACCAAGAGGGGCTGAGACTCCTAATTAGCATTCTCTGGGAAAGATGAATAACCAAGCCCTACTAATCTCTTCCAGGTTTAGAACAGGATTCCCTTGACTTACTCTTCCTAGAAGAAATGAACTCTTCTTCTCTTAAAACTGTACCGCTAAATTGAGGGAGTTTCTTTTAGAAGCCATGCCTTTATAATGAGGATTTGAATCCAACTTCATGAATAACTGAAAATTTGGCATGGTCTGTTTAGAGTCCTCCCACCTCCCCCCAGCCTCCTCGGAGAAGGAAGTTGGGGGTGGGGAGGAGAGAAAATAAGGGTGTCTTTTTAGCTAAATGATCCTTTTTTCACAAGTGCTTCACTTTATAAAAATGAATTATTTTCTTCATGAGAGTTAAGCCAACATGTATGGATATTAAGTTATAAAAAGAAAAAGGCAAAAGTTCAAATATTTAATACAGAAAAAAATTAATTCCCTTAAGTTAAAAAAAAAAAATCAGGCACAAATTTTTTTAATGTGGAAACTTTCATTAGACTTACTTTTGCTAGTACAATAATAGTTAAGGCTACCACATTTTTACCTGCCCTCCCTCTCCACAATATTCCAGTAGACAAGTATTTCATGAAGTTTACCTCGTGCACTGAGTTGCTTCTGACGGGCATTCAGATGAAAACTTGACAGTACACACGCTCCAGAATACAAACAGCTACGGGACTTAAAAGCACACTCTCCACAGTGAAAGGGAAGCCTTCCAAGCAATATTCCTGCCTACTCTTATAAATTTAGCAACCACTTCAGCAAGCCAAAAGACCAAAGCTCCTAATCTTGTTCAGTTGAACCGAGTTGTTCAATAAAGTTTGAGAGCCAGTGCAGACAGCTACCCCAGGCCAAATTATTGACAGAAACATACCGTCCACCATGGCAACTAGCAGACGTCGGCTGCAAAAATGTAAGCAAACGGCCCACTGCTCCAGGAGCATCTGCCAATGGACTTTAACAGCCAAATACCAGGCGGCTGTTTGGCTTCTCTGTGTTAAACTGTTGCATGCTCAGGGGTCACACCAAAGCATGCAGTTCGGGGGAAAAAAATTATTTTAAATACTGTCACCATAATCCCAACCTTGTACCGCCTTCTTTCTGTCTACTCGTGCTTCAGTGGAAGTTAACGGATTCTTGCCCCAAATGGAGAGCTGCCCAAACATCACACTGAGAAACTGCCCCAGATTTCCCAAACGCATCCAAAGGCAACTGACATGGGGCCAGACACTCAGGGCCATAGACTCTGAGAACTCAGAAGTTGCTTCATTGCAAACACTGCTTAGACTGTTTACAACAAAGATTAAGAAGAGGGTAATCCTGTTGCATGAGGCGGGACTAGAACACACACTCCTCCCGTGCACCGCTCACACACTCCTGACGATTCCTCACTGCGACCCAGGAAACAAGTGTATATTCGCCTACGACGACTGGAGATAAAAGTATCCAAGGCTCCTTCCAACATAAAGATGAAGCCTTGCTGCTCATCACTCACTAGGAACCCCTCCCGTCACCCTCACAGAATTAGCTGATGAGGAAGGAGCTCACGGCACAAGTATTCACCTTTTTTAAAATGAACATGGATTTTAAGCTGTCCCCTTAAATCCCATTTTACCACCGTACCTCCTTTCTTTCCCCAGGATGCAGAAGACAGAGTGTAAGAGAAGAGACAATACTTACAACTCAGGCCCCAGGCTCTGGCTAGCTACTTTCTGCAAACTTCTCTTGGTGGGCTTTCTCTGACTGTGCAGACCCTCTAAGGAACATTCTGGTGTCCCCCTGCCCCCCTCTCCCACTCCCGTGCGGTGCTTCTCCCATTAGAGGAATTAAAAGTGGTTGGAGCCATGCTAAATTTAACAAGCTCATTAGTATTCTTTCGGAGTGCTTCTGAGTGAACTCTCTCTATTCAAGCCGATCTCTCCAGGAGAAGGGTCAGGCGGCTAATCATTAAATCAAACTAATGTCACCCTATCACAATCAGCCCGGGAGAAGGAGGGTTTATTATTTCAGTTTATGCTAAATAAACGGTTTTACAAATGGTCCCCAAGCAAGGTCAACAACAGCTTCAATTACAAGACAAACTTAACAAGAGTTGCTATAAACCAAGTACTCAGTATTGACTTAAGAACAGGCTCAACTCCACATATTGCCACTAGCCGGGTATTACAGGAATGCATATTGTAGAATAAAGGAAGGGGGGGAAGCTTCTTTCTTTGCCAGAATTTGCGACTGCACAGAGACTCCTCATTCACCTCTCTCCAACCAGCTAACCGCTCAGCTCAATTCACCCCACACAAAGGCTGGAGCCCAGACCTCAATGGACCGAGTGAAACATGTTCAAAACTAGGCTCTCTATTGTGACTGAATTTCTTAACATCTTTTCAAAAAGCGGAGAATGCCTTGAGGCTAAAGGAAGAAACAGGCTAATGGTGAATTGGGAATTCTGAGCAAATTTCAGAGCCCTTTCCTCCTAGCTTTTGAGGTTGAAAGCAAGCTCTTTCCTTTCAAGTTTCAAAGTCCTTTTTCCTCCCGCAGTGTCACAGAAGGATTTGAAAAGAAGGTAATTGTGCTCGCAGTCTCCCTGATCAGAGCTTACGTCCTATTTCTGGTATTTCGGAATACTTCTTGCAATAATAGTGCATATAGCTCAATCCCTTAACCGGCCTGCACTCTGCAATTGCTCATTAAATGAACAATTGCGGGTATAAAATGCCTTTTATGTTCAAGGTCTGGATATAAGATAAGCATTCTAGGACTCTAAATTTGGTTTACTAAGGAAACTCTCCATCATTAAATTACAAAACTGAAGTCAGAATATCAGGCTTTCCCAGAAAAGTGGCACTCAGATTTCGGTGAGCCAAAATGAAGGG